AGTAAAAATACTTATTTACTTTTATTCAGGCGGGTAAAAATGTAGATAAAAATACCTTGGTTACACTTAGCTGGGTTTTTTAGATTTTCTCATTCAGTTCGTCGCGAACTGTTACCATTTCAAGTAGTTCGTTTATCATTATCCATAGTTTAATATACTCATTATTTTCAATCGGAATTAGAATATAGATCGACGTAGTCACAAAGTTAAGAGACTGAGTCATTTCCAAACTATCAAACTAGTTCCAGTCGTCTTAGTGCATTGACAAAAGCCGAACGCGTTTTAAAAAAAGCCAAACCGACTAATGACTCATTTTGAAGTCACTAATCGCAAGGTCAACTGGAGGAATTAGCTAACCAATAAATGAGTTGCTTTTAATTGGTTAGAAAATATATGTACCGGTAAAAGGAGTTGTGACTCATCAGAACTTCTTTCGGCGATTATGGAATTTACTGGGTCGTTCAGCAATCGTCCTTTGATTTCGAAAGCATTAAAATCTGGAAGGCTGATGGTAACTTGATATTTTTTACGGATGTAGTCAGTTAGACACTGTCTAATTTGTTGTCGAAGGGTTAGTCAGAAATAATTCAGTAAAAATAGCAATCGTAACATTTGTTTCCACTTTTAATTAAAACCAGATCATTTATTTCATGTTTCCTTTTAGCATTTATTACTAGTAGAAAAATGTACAACAATTCTCCAGATCGAAAATGACATTTGAATCTATGGTCAAAAATTCTTTTCCAGTGTATTTCCCAACTTAGAATGTCTCCATCTAAAGAAAAGCTTAGTATAAACAAGTAAACTCACTAGTTGACTCAATATTATTGTATCAAACAACTAACTGTTTTACGCTCAGATTTTAAGCAGAAATGACTTACTTCTTAGGGATTTCAAAAGTAGCTGAACCATGGCAACAAATATTTTTTCCATACTACTGTAATTGTTATTTAGTCATGACAACTTAAATGAAAGTGATCAATTAAACACATATTATTGGTAATATAGTAATACTTTAAGACATCGTTTGTTATTTGGTCCATAGAGCTCATTTTCAGATAAAATCTAAATGCTATGTTATATTTTTTGTTTTTAATTTACTGTCAAGCATTCTCTCTACGTTTTAAAAAACTGGTTCTGTGATAATTTTCAGCCATATCCATAAAAATTAATCAATTGTTCCTTCGGAGATGGGAAACATATAACTCATTTTTCTAGTAATCAAATGTCCCTGACCGGGTAATTTTGATGAAAGATCTAAACGACAAAGTCGGAATGGACAACATCGGATATCAAGATATCATGGAACGACATGGACTAGGAGAAGGGGATCAAAGTGTTAAGAGATTTGCAAATTCATGTGAGTTCAAAAACTCGGTTATAGGTGTCACTATATTCCACACAAACGTTCACACAAAACTAAATTGGTTTCGTCGGATCACACTATGAAAAACAAGATCAATCATATTCGCATCAGCAAAATATTCAGCAGGTCAATGGAACATGTGAAAACCAGCAGAGGAGCTGACATTACTTCAGATCACCATCACCAACTCGTCGTTGTAAAGATGAAACTGAGGTGAAAGAAACACTGGACAACTGGACAAACAGCATTACGAAGGTTCAATACACAATTCCTTCAACACACTGACAAAATCAACCAATTCAACATAGCTCTCAACAACAGGTTGCAAACACTACATGATCTACTCAAAGAAGTGAAAACTGCGATGGAGGACAATTGGAAAGAGGTCGAAGATACACTAACTTCAACGTGTTAGCAGGTTCTGGGTCGCAACAAGCATCATCATCGTCATCATCATCATCATATGGAATAGATCTACATCGAACCCCTGGACAAGATTCAAGAAACGAAGAACAATAGCGTAACAATAAACAACAGTCGAACGAGAACACAGAAAGTCAACACACAAGCTGAATACACTGAAGCAAACAAGAGAGTGAGCATTAGAGCATTACAGCTGACAAACAGAAATCTTAGCCTCTAGACCACTGAGTCGGTATCCTTCGGTTCTAATGTTAACCGTGTCGAGTATGAGGCTGTTACCCACTGAAGACAATCGAAAATGGTAGCAGAATAATATGGATTGGTTGAAAGACTAATCTTTGCTGTAAAACTTTATTCTACATACAAAATTCTTCTATCCATCTGTACTAGCCATAGGATTCACTGGTGTCGATATTAAATATCAACCAACTTTCAGGTTTCCCACATTCATATAGTTAATTTCATCAATAAAATATGCAGTTTTTTACTTCATTATTTACAGATAAGTGAGTGTTATCCAAAAGAACTTTATTTAATATTGCTATTTTATTGGGACTGTTTCATAAACAAGAGATATCTTGTGGATATGATATGTTTTAACGAATTACTACTCCTTCCTAATGGGCTCGAAGTTCAACAAGGTACAATGAAGAAGTTAAATTTGAAAAAGGATCAGTGGTATGGTATTGCTATTAAGATTCAACACATAATAAAATACTTAGTTGTACAGTAACTGGGTCGATAAGCTCCCACACATCTATTTCATATCAACTTCACAAACAAGTACCAGACAGGTGTCTCATTACACGTGTTGTTTAATTAACGCATAATTAATAAATTATCTTTAAATCCTGATATCTTGTGGACCCATTATTTTTGGTAATGGGTGCGTTTGATGCAGTTAGTTAGATCGGTAACAGTCAACTATAAACAAAATATTAGAAATTTTAATATAAATAATAACGACTAATTCTAGTTTATTCGCAGACATTTCGATACATAGGAATAGTAACTTTATTTAAACTAAAGTGAGCCAAAAATTTGTACTTTTAAACAGTATTTGTTCAGTTATTTTTCTAAATTAACCTTTTTTTCAATGAACTACTAGTTACACAATCGTTTATGTTATTTCATTTTAAGTTGATTTTGTGTACAATTTAAAAATTATTCGTGTGAACATTTACCTGCTATTGAAAAAAATAGGCTATATTTCGATCTTTTAGAAAAAAATGTGCTATACGGGACAAATTCAAATGTAACTGGAACTGACAGTAAACGTGTGCTTTTAAGTATGGAAAAAAAACAAGGTTGAAATGGTGCTTGTACATGTATGGCTATAACACTGTTAGACTAGATAAGTAAATCAACGAACTTAATTACAAGGAAAGTAGACTTGTTTATAGTAGCCTGAATTGTTGGATTTTAATGCAATATATCAGTGTTACAACTGATGTTATATGTGTTCTATTCTGTTTTGAGATTCATCAATCGGATGAACTGGACCTCTGTGAACTTTTTAATTTAAAACTAAACACATCACCTAGTACTTAGGAAGCTGAAGAAATGTCTGTCAAGTCATAGAGCGACTTATAACAGTTGCTACTCGTTCAACAAATACTGTCATAAAATTTTACGCTTTCTGATGATCTTTATAGAGCTGATATGACCTATATTCATCTTATTTTGGTTTTTTATAAAGATTTCGATATTATGTGGTTAGATTTTAATCAAAGTTACTTCCTCCTTGCTTATTTCCTAGTGTTCACATTGTTTTGACGATGTAATTTCTGTCACATCCGTACTGCCTCAAAGTTAGTAACGTGGATATTTGGTGATCTGCATTCAAATATACATTTTGAAATGCTTCATACATCCTATTGTTGTATTGTGTCCTCATATACAACCATTTTTCTTTTATTCCTTACCAGTTTTCTACCACAAGCTTTAATCTCCTTCCTTACTTGACGATATCTATAACTAGCTAATCACTCCCCCGGAAACTAATGAAATCCAGGGACACAACATAAGAATTTTTTAAAAATTAAACCAATTGCAGAGAAATACTTGAGGGAACAAACTTCTTAAGCAAAAGAAGTGTAAGTTAGCATAGTCTCCAAATGATGCGTAAATCTGAGCAAGTGAGAAGTTACTAACTTGGTTGAAAATATTGACATAAAATAACAGAAAGTAGCAAAAACTGGGACAACAGTCTAGATAAGTTTTCCCGTATGGACTATTCTATACGAACAACTTGAAGCAAGTGTTGAATTTGTCAAAAGTTGGTGGTGCGAAATTCCTAGATTTTTGTTCTTGTGAAATCTTGTCACGATTTCCTCTATAAGGCTTAAATTACACTGTTATCTGTCCGATGACGGTAGTAGAATTGAGTATGAGCATAGAAGCTTTCTTTGGTGCTAGTGATAACCTCGATAATGGACGACCACTGTTTACAGCTAATCTTTCAACAGTATAAAACAAATTCTTATTTACTCCCACTCCTTTATGTGGTAAAATATTAGAAAGGTAAGTAGATTACGAAGTGGTTCTTTAGATTTCCTGGAAAGGGAAAAATATCCCAATCTCCATATTTTAGGGAGATGGCACAAAACCCTCAAAATTTCCCCAAATTTTGGGGAAAACTACCAAATTTCTTACGACTTGGGGAAAAACCCCACAATTTAGCCGAAATGGGGACCAGACTAAATTTAACAAGTGATTTCAACCCAGTTAAAATATCTTATTTTGTAGCTGTCAGAAACTGGTTAGTTTGGAAAGTAACATATACCATCCTTGGTTGTAACTTTCCTATGATGAGTATGGGATTTACGCTGATAACCACTAAATTGGTATTGTTCTAATTAGTGGCCACCGAACGTGTTGGACTACATGTTAGTAGATAGACACAACTAGAGTGACTTGACCTCAAGTATATTTTTAAATACATATAGTAAATACCATAGACATACAAAAAGTGACATGTATGATTGCGGTGAACAAAACAGCCGAAAATATGATTGGTGCATATGTTTTTGACCTTTCACTGTCTCAAGGTCAACTTATCTGCTTTGTTTCATATCTCTACCTCCAAACAATTCATTGGGGTGTTTCTTGATTTCTGCAGATGTACGGTAACGCTACCGGCTAAGGTTAGTTGGATATAACTGTGAATTCCGAATATATTAATCTTTTTCCTTGTGCAAATTTGCAAATACAGAATATTATCAGAAGGGGTTTGTGGAGATTTTTAGAAATTTTCACAGATTGAAATCATGAGTCAGTTGAAGCTAGACCACCATTGAAAACCCCTTCTGATAATAATCATCTGCTCACTAGTGACTGACTTCAAGAGATACTCCTGGAGTTCTAGTGGGAAGCCGTTACCAGTGGAGTACAACCAGGTCTGTTGTGAGATATCAGCTCACTGAAGACAATAGTATATGGTGGCGCAACTTCGTGGATTGGTTGAAGTTAGACATTAACACCGTTGGATGCCGGCTCAGTGGTCTAATGGTTAAGTGCTCGCGCGCGAAGCCAGTAGGTCCCGGGTTCGAGCCTCGCGTGGTGCGGAATCGTGGATGCGCACTGCTGAGGAGTCCCGCAGTAGGACGAAACGGCCGTCCAGTGCTTCCAGGTTTTCAATGCTTAAACAATTTCACTTTGGTTACAAATGATTTCAGCGAATAGTTGAACTGCTATGAAAATGTCCAATCACAGCACACTTTATTTTCTGGTACTTTTTGTTTGATATTTGGCATTTGGATCAACAATCAGGGAACCAGATCATAATTCTAGATGAATTCTTTTTATTAGTTAGTTGTCAAAAATATATTAGTTTTCGTTGCATTTCCTATTCGTTAGAGTGGTCTGTTTATTTCAATTCCTTCATTGATATCGTCCTAGGAACAGTATTCTATGACTTTCGAAGATCAATCCACCAGATGGTATTCCTATTTGTCATTTAGTCGTTTTCAACGTACAACGTGGATTCGATGTGCGTTGGTCCAAGTTGTTTAAGCAAAACGCCCCCGAATGTCTTGGTACGGTCGAGGGTGGGTAGAGTTCACTCTCGAAATGCTCTCATATGACCACATCTACACAGCCACTGCCAGGGAAGTCCTCCTCGCTGTGGGGGTGTTGTTTACGAAATCGCAAGGACGAAAAGCAAGTAACCGACGCTTTAACCGGGTTGGTGGACACGGAGAGTTCATTAAGAAGAGTTAGAAAACCCTGATTCTAAACTAATAGTGCACATGGGCTACAGGATCCTAAGGGAACAGATGGTGTATGAACGTACTGTTGGTCACCGGCTACCATGAGACTGCATCTACTAAAGTTGCTCCACTGCCTTGTAAATAAGACCTGTAGGTTAAAGGCTCGGGGTGTGATCCCTAAGGAATCCATCTCCAGTTTGGGCGTCCGGGCAGTATCACAGCCCGCACGCATATCAGTGATAACTGCTACTGACCTTATTGTTATTGTGTGGCGCATTTGTATTCGGTGCCCCTTTGTACACCAATATTTGTGTGTTCAAACATATAAACATGGCACAATGGCAATATAGATAAGTGCCGAAAGTTCCTTAAAAATATGAGGATAGAATTCTTTTCAACTACCTTCGAATATTTTGGTAAAAAGCTTGCAAATACTTAGATGTGCATCTTCATCATCGGAAAAATTCACGTCTCTTTCGGAACTTGAACTTATATTATCACAGATAATTCATTTAAATACCATATGTCACGATATACATGGGTTGGTTGCATAATGATGAACAGTGGAGAGTGGGTGATTTTCATGGAGTTTTGTTCTCTGAGCTGGATGGTTTGGTCGTGATCACGACCAATAGTTTATCCCCTGGTTCTCGTTATGAGATAAAGTCTACTAATGAAAAATTTCACTATGGTCGCTAAGTTTAATAATGTAATAATTCAAGAAAAACTTAAAATTAGTTCACTTGATCCTTTTCAACTTCCACGACCATTGATTCCTAAAAAATGTATAGTCTAGAACTAATTAGTACCAGGATGTTCGGATTTCGTTTCTGGCACACTATAAGCAAACCGTTGCTTCAGGACTGGTTTTTGTCAATGATTAATGCGACCATAGGAAATGAAGTAGTTCAGTACAGTCACTATTTAACTTGTACGTTTTATCAACTCCAATGAGTTAGTTGCTAGCAAGGCTTTACAACGGTGCAGGAATCCCGCTGCCTGTAACACAGGTATGGTCTGTTCGACATTCATGATGCCGTAGTACTACCCGTATCTTTCTACAGCCTTGAAACTGCCTATAAAAGTAGGAGATATACTTCAGTTATAATTAGCTAATCACAGATACCTTTACTGTGTTGTCCATGTATGGTGAGACCAAGTGTATAATTCTTCATCTACTGAGATTGTTGGGCTACGTATTGCGCATGGCTGAACGCCGGTTACCACGACGCACGATGCTGACTAGTGTTAGAGATGGATGTAAGAAAGTTAGGGGCGGCCAAACGAAAACGTGGCATCAGTCCTTGAAGTCACTAACTTCTGGTCTGAGTCATGTTAGCAGATTCAGACTACTTGGTTGGGGTCCGCACGACTATTGTAACCAATGATTGAAGACTCTGGATGACATGTCTCAGAATCGACCACAATGGCGTAGGTGTATACACTCTGTCTTCTCTTAAACTGTGAGATTAATGTCGTTTCATATCTTTCTTTCCACGGACTAATTCTTTCTTCCTGTACTATGTCGTTATATACAATCTTTCTTTTATATATTACCACCACTGAATTAACTACTTTCATGAATCCGTTGTTCATCTTGTTGTGCTAATGAGGTATGGCAACTTTGACCGATGCATATATGTGCCTGGTTCTACGCTGTAGCTGACTGACATCCACTGTCCTGCACGAGGGACTGGAACCTACGACACCCGACCTAGTGAGCGAACGCTTAACCTCCAGACCACTGAGCAGGTGTTCAACGGTGTCTAACTTCAGTCAATTCACAGCATTGAGCGACCATCTATTGTTTTTAATGGGTATCTGCTTACCACCCGACATAATAGTCCAATGTTGTTGATTGATTGAGGTTAGAAATTAACATCGTTGATACTGATTCAGTGGTCTAGAAGTTAAGTGTTCACCCATTAGACCGAAGATCATGTGTTCGCGTTCAGGTTGCTGGATGTGCACTCATTAGGAGTCCCATATTAAGACGAAACGGCCGTCTAGTGTTTCCAGATTTTCAATGGTGGTCTAACTTAAATTGGTCCGTGATTTCACTGAAAATTATTTCATTTGTAGTAGTTGGTAATTTTCAAATCTATTCATTCAAAGTGTGCATGACGTTGTAGCTATTAAATAGTCTGAAATATTCTACATACCATTGAGATCAAGCGATTTTATTCTTAATCTCTAGAGAAAAGTGATTTTAATTCCTGATGGACTGAAGAAATACTCACGTTTTTGTCTAGGTTGACAAATGTAGGAACTGTCCCTCTAAAGCTCTTTTACAATTATATGGTAATTTCTTATCAAGTGCGAATTCACCAATACTTATCTTAGTACAATTTGTGTAGAAGAATGATAAAATAGGTTTTGCCGTTTTCCTGGAGATTATGATTTTTCCTACAACTACTGTAGTTATTAAACAATATCAAAACTCATTATGCTAAGGGGAAACCAAGTTAAATCTTTGTCGTGTTTATTTATTATTCTGCTGAGAACGCTATTATTATCATCACTATTATTATTATTATTATCATCATTAGTAGTAGTTGTTGTTGTAGTTGTAGTAGTATTAGTATCGACTTTACTACTCAGTAATTTGCTTCAACAATTTCATCTTATGGGTTCTAACAAATTAAACTGATGCACGTACGTACTGCGTTACACGTTGTTAGCGCGAACAAGGATATAATCTGAGTCCATATAAGCAATCCAGAAGAAGTGGTACTCTTCTGTACGACGAGGTGAACGGTAGCTTATCGCTGTGATAAATCTTCGTTCAGGCTTAAGGTGCCGAGAGAGAGAGAGAATACCAGGAAACATATCGAGGATGGCTGTGCTGAAAGTTGGTTCTAGCTAGAAACAGGTGGTTTGTGCAAAGCTACAGGAGACACCATGACTTGCAATCAACGAGTTCCCATTGTCCACCTAGATGGCTCTCCTTTGTGCCTAGATGCCCTACCTACTCATTCAGATATCAAACCAATATTACAATATCCGTCGAACACTATTCTCTGAGACCGTCTAACAGTTGGCACAATCCATCCTTGATTTTATCCGGTCTGCAGTCTGTCGTGGCGTAGGCGGAAATGACAAAAAGATATCATTTTTCACACTGATTTCTGATTTTGATGTAGCTCTCTAATCTAACAACACGATCGGTTGTTAATATGTTTCCAGTCGATTAGTGCTGCCTCATATTTGGAGTTTAATGGTACACCAACCCTCGCAAAACAGGAAGATGACTCCAAATCTGATAAACGCATGTGAAACAAGGTTTTCGAAGTGACAAATGGAAATTAAATGTTCACTTCATTATGAACTTAAATACTGGTCTTGGATAAACAACAGACATCGATGTTCAGGCTTTCTAAAGGCAGCCAAATTTATATGTTATACGGTATGCATTAGTGTGGGGACGTTGGAGGAGACCAATTTTATATGGGACTTGTGGTTTCAGGAAAGCTGGTTCAAGATACGTATTTCGTGATAGCATTTAACTTCCTACCATTCAGTGCCCTGAAAACATTTATATAGGATAGAATTTTCATCATCAACGAGCTTCTATGTGAGTTGATAAAATAACAGAATGCTCAAAAGTAGAAAAGGAATAGACGACTAACTCAATGTAAAGTGAAAAACAATGTTACTAAATAATTATGAATGTCGTTTGCACAAAAGTGAGTTGGAGCAAGGGTCTTTTCTCCAGTCGTAATCATTAAGTTTATGTGTGGCCGAGATGCTGCTCGAGTGCCCGGTTGTCTAAGAGGATTTCTTCCCAAGCCTTTGTCCTCGTGGTCTAGTTTACAGAGTAATGGAGCAACGTTAGGAGACGCGATCCTATGGTACCCAAGCTATTGGCTTCCGTCATAGTTCGTAGGTTGTTCAAAACCCGAGAAAGACTGACTCGCGAGAAGCAGGCTAGGTTTCGTTCTGGTCGAGGATGTATTGATCATAGCTTCACCCTCCGCCAAATGTTAGAGCATCGCCATACTTATCAAAGGCCAACAATCGTAGTGTTTCTTGACATCAGGGCTGCCTTCGATTCGTTGGATAGGACTGTTCTCTAGGGTTGTCTGTTGAAGAAGGGTGTGCCTGAGAAGTTTATTAACATCCTAAAAGCCCTAAATCTCACCATTCCTCTTCAACTTTGCCATCGACGACATTCTGGAAACAGCTCTGATGGATGTAAGTAATGGCGGTGTGGATCTGTAGCCTGGAGAGACTTCTCGAGCTTGAGTATGCGGATGATGATATTGTCTTACTGTGCGATAATGCCCAAGGCGTGCAATCCGCACTTAATCATTTGGCAATCAGTGTCCGTAAGTATGGTATGTGCTTTGCACCTTCTAAGTGCAAAGTACTTCTACAAGACTGACAGGATTCTAACCATGTACTCATCCTGGATGGTGAGCAGATAGAGGTAGTCAAGAAGTCCGTGTATCTAGGTATCTGCATAAGTGCTGGTGGGGGTGTGAGTGATGAGATCAACGCACGTATAGTAAAAGCCAGAGCGGCTTATACCAATCTGGGCCACCTGGGCCACCATGTTAGTAATGCAGAGGTTCGGGTACAGAGACGATAATGCAATTTGTGTCACCATCTTGAAACACCGACTTCGGTAGCTTGGACATGTTCTACGAATGTCGTCCCAAGAATTCCACGTCGTGCATTATTTGCCGACTCTGGGACTGGTTGGAAAAAGCCGAGAGGTGGTCAGTGCATGACATGGTGTCGTGGCATGAAAGAAAGCTGCAAAGGGCTGGCTTCTGTTGGTCCTTCACGACTCCCTGTTTGGGGCCCGAGAGATGATGCAACACAGTGGCTAGAGACGTTATCAGATATGGCTCAGAATAGAAGCCAGTGGCGATCCTGCTGTAACCTTCTTTTACTTTCTTCATAAAAAGTGGTTGTATCTTCCTTAACTGAAAGACTTCTTCTGATTGTACCTTTCCGTTCCCCCATTATTACCACTATTATTATTACACTACCTTACACCAATCTCTTCATTAGTTTTTTTTTACCCTCCTTACCTTTTTTCTTTTTCCTTCTCTTTAAATTCTCATTGTTTTGTGTGGCGCATATATATTGGCGCACTCTTGTACCAATATGTATGTGTTCAAATAATAAATAAAACCCGGTGACTAAAAATAGACTTATACGCTACTCGGCCCGTCACGATTCTGAACCCATGTGTAGCATCGGTTTGGTATATAGGTTTTTCCAACTCCCCTAGGTGAATTCTCCGTGCCCTGTAATCCAGTTTAAGAGCCAGGCATTTGCCTTTCATCCTACCACTTCCACGATAAGATAGTAAGTAGGACTCTCCTAGCAGTGGCCATATGAAAGCGTTTCGAGGGGTAGATCGGAAATATTTCCACCTTTTCCCTACTCGGGCATTTTACCTAACATGACAGTTCAAACATTTGTGTCCGTTACTAACTTTAAAGCAAACACAAGATGGGTATTTGTGATGACGACACTATTTGAACTTAGTTCACTATGGTGTGGATTATTTACCAACCATATGCTTGTGTACTCGGCTTTGTATGTAAGGGTTAATGCTACTACCCGGTTGCCAAAACTGAAGTAGATGTTACGGGGTTTGAGCTTGCTACGTGGTGGTTGAGAATTAAATGCTTTCACTACCGAATACCCACTTCAATCTAACAGTTAACCTCATAAGAAGTCTTCACATGAAAGCAATGACATGTATTTTATAGGTGTTCACCATCAACTTTCTAGTTCAGCTTTGTTGTACATGTACCAATTAAGGTAATGAAATTGTACAACAATTGAGATAACTTGTTTTTATGTTACTTTCCCCATGTCACCATCTTCTTAAACATCCAGTACTGGCTGACAGAACACATGGTGTGATAGAACACTGATAGAACAGCTACTATTTATCTAAATTTTAGTTATTAATTTAGTTGTTTGAAAATAATCTAGTTTGGTTCTTATTAGCTCAGGTATTCAAATAACGACATGAGCTGCCGAAATTGCTAGCCAAAGCACATATTACCGGCATGATTTTAGTTTGCGTGTTTATGTACATGTTAATATTTACGTATGTTTCTAATTCGTTCACCATCATCACTGGAGATAGATGGGAGCCTGGCACTGTTGTTTCAAAACAATTATCTTACAGACGACTTTTCAATATCAGGTACCGAATTATCATCTAATCCTTAGATTCATCTGTATTTATTAATTATCGTAAAATTGAGAGTAGAACCTACAGGCTTCAAAACATATACCCTCATCATTATAAAAAGGATGTTATCATTGTTCGTTAACTAAATTCTCACATTTTTTCGTGAATTCTTCCAGTTTTTAAGTGCTGTCTGTACTCTGTTTTCCATCATTGAATCACATGTCTGAATCGTATCTCACTTATTTCGCTATTCGGGCAATACTTCTCACAAAGCTTAATGCAAAAATGTGTACTTAATTTGGAAGGTTCATTTTTCAGGCCAGAAATATGTTGCGCTGCATAAGTTTATACTATAGTTTATCGCGTGTAAAAGTGACAATCATAATACTGTTGTTTGTAATGTCTGTTATTACGTTGTTATGCAATTTTGTTCCTATGTATAGCTTCTTTATTTAGTCTGTATATCAGATGTAAACTATGAACGGTCAGAACCGGTGACTGATCTAGTAAATAATATACAACCAAATGAATATGACGGTTTGAACTTGTTAGCCTAGTAGGGAAGTTAGTTGTTCTGGTTATTTCAGTCAAACAGACTAGCAGTCATATCTCTCATGGTCACAAAATTCTAAATTAGATTTTATTCAGTTAAGCGACTTACCAACTACTATGACAAGTTCAAACTACCGTATATGTTCGATTATGAACCTTATGGTGGTTACTGAATCTCAAAGTTAATTTACGTTCACGACGTTTGTGTTCTAGCAACACCCATCTGAACCGTATTCACAGATACAAAACAAAACAGATATCCCTTTTATTTTTAAACCTTCTCCATTTTCTTCATTTTAGGTAGTCAAGTACTGCCTTTAATCCACATACTAACGATATGGCTTAAAACTTACTGTATTGTTGTGTGTCTGTTCACTAGGTTGCTTAAATGCAGTAGTGTTTATTTTGCGTGACTTAGTTATCTAGACAGTTTATGGTCATTGGACTACAGTTTCACAAAAAATTTTGGCCTGTCGACTGGAGTATTATTGTTAGTCTATTTGGTTAGATTTGTTTCCCTTTCACTTAAATATAACATTTTCTAACTAATAATTTGTTCCGTTCCTTTAGATATCGAAATGGTCGCGTTGGAATTTATTTCTCAGTTAGATAAACTACACTTTGTTGATTCTGTCGGACTAGATGATTTCGCAGATCGATGCTCTTATATGTTATCATTTGTTATTCTGGTCATGTGCTTTACTATTGTTACACTGAAATCTTATGTCTTTGAACCGTTGTCATGCTATATTCCAACTACCTTCTCGGGTTCTAATTTGGGATCGTACATAAATGCATTTTGCTGGATTAATGGAACTACACCGATAAGTGTAGATACGGATCAGCTAGATAATCCAACGTATTGGAGTAGTTTAGAAGATAAAAAAATCAGTAAGTCTTTTTCTCTTTTGATTATATTTAGCGCCATAATATATTTTCGTTCGCATAGTTTTTAACCTAGATTTGTTTTGACATGATTTTCTAGATTAACAGAGCTTTGGAATAAAGTTCAGATTCAAATGGTTCAGGTATGAAAAGTAATCAAGAGTCTTACGCACTTTTGATTTTGAAAGTCTTTTATAACTCTTATATAGGTTAACTTCACAATTCATGTAATAGTATAGGATGTGGGAGTTTGCTACCAAAAGAATTTGAGTAAATCTTAGTATCTAATGATTGACGTATTATAGTGTATGAGCAGGGTGCTCATTCAATCTGCTCTAGTAGCTAAGCTGTTAATGAAATTGAATTACGATCAACTGACTCGTAGGTTTAAGCCTCAACCCACCTACTTCAGTTTGGGTAGCGTAGACAATTGTTCATGACTACTTGTACATTCTTGATGATGATGATGATGATTGTGGTAGCTTTCCAAGTTTCAGCTCCGAACAGTAGAATTGTCCTGGAGATTGTGACTTTGATGTTGATTGATAGTTGTTTTGAGCTGTATATGTTCTTCAGTTGTAGGAACGCGATCCTTGTTTTGCCAATCCTTGCCTTTACGTCTGCATTGGATCCTCATTGTTCATCGATGATGCTGATCAGGTACGTGGAATTTCCACATCTCCCAGAGTTTCTCCATCAAGTGTGATTGGATTGGTGTTCTCCATGTTGTATTTGAGGATGTTGATTTTTCCTTGTGTATGTTGAGACCTAATGATGTAGAGGATTCTGCTACACTGTTTGTCTTCATCTGAATTTGGTCGTGTGTATGGGGTGGAATTGCCAGGTCATCATCTGTGAAGTGACGAGTTCTATTCGATTGATTGTTCAACGATGATGCGTATTGTGGTGATTTGGTATGTGCATGACTAATCCTTATGGAATCCAAACTGTTGATCTCGAGGCTGTGCACTTACTGAATCCTTCATCCGGTTCGGCTTTCCTTCTTTGTCTTTGACCGGTCTTTCTGGTTTACCACATTTCCCTACCAGTTTCTTCGTCGTGTCAGATAGTTGTTTGGTATTCCCTTCTCTTGCATCATTTTCCTCTGTCACTGCCAAGTGTTCCTTGTATTTCTGTTTGTCAGCTGTAATGCTCTAATGCTCACTCTCTTGTTTGCTTCAGTGTATTCAGCTTGTGTGTTGACTTTCTGTGTTCTCGTTCGACTGTTGTTTATTGTTACGCTATTGTTCTTCGTTTCTTGAATCTTGTCCAGGGGTTCGATGTAGATCTATTCCATATGATGATGATGATGACGATGATGATGCTTGTTGCGACCCAGAACCTGCTAACACGTTGAAGTTAGTGTATCTTCGACCTCTTTCCAATTGTCCTCCATCGCAGTTTTCACTTCTTTGAGTAGATCATGTAGTGTTTGCAACCTGTTGTTGAGAGCTATGTTGAATTGGTTGATTTTGTCAGTGTGTTGAAGGAATTGTGTATTGAACCTTCGTAATGCTGTTTGTCCAGTTGTCCAGTGTTTCTTTCACCTCAGTTTCATCTTTACAACGACGAGTTGGTGATGGTGATCTGAAGTAATGTCAGCTCCTCTGCTGGTTTTCACATGTTCCATTGACCTGCTGAATATTTTGCTGATGCGAATATGATTGATCTTGTTTTTCATAGTGTGATCCGACGAAACCAATTTAGTTTTGTGTGAACGTTTGTGTGGAATATAGTGACACCTATAACCGATTTTTTGGACTCACATGAATTTGCAAATCTCTCGCCATTTTCTTTTCTGTCTCCTAGTCCATGTCGTTCCATGATATCTTGATATCCGATGTTGTCCATTCCGACTTTGGCGTTCACGTCTCCCACCAGAGTGTTTGGGTTCTTTGCTGGACAGTTCTCTACGATAGATTGTAGTCTCTCATTACTATCATCGGTAGGTGCATAACGTTGGCTAACATTCACTGTAACACCCTCATTCCTTGTTTTCGAGGATGCTTTGATGATTCTGTGAGATCTATGAGATTCCCATCTTATAAGCATATTTTTGCTTCAATGAACAGCACCAGGGCAATTGTCTGAGTGTGAGATGCTTTTCTTCTTGTTGACCAGAGTACAGCAACATCTCTCTCGAATTTAGTCTTTTCTATCCTGCTTTATTTGTACATATTTTACTGATTCAGACCACCTTCGAATTGTATTTCCTTATTTACGTAGCTTTTTGATTTGTCAGACATCGTAGTAACTACAAACATGCTTCACCTTCTATTCATGAGAGTTAGGAGGAGCAAATGACGAGATTTGGGAGGAGGAGGAACAAGTGCCGATGGACTAGAATGAAGGACACCTCATCAAGATTCCAAAGAAAGGAGATCTGAGCAAATGTGAAAACTACAGAGGAATCACACTACTGTCAATACCAGGGAAAGCCTTTAACAGAGTTTTGCTGAACCGGATGAAAGATGCAGTAGACGCCCAGCTTCGAAATCAACAAGCTGGATTCCGTAAGGATCGGTCGTGCACAGACCAAATTGCAACACTACGGATCGTCGTCGAATAATCAGTTGAGTGGAACTCTTCAATGTACATCAACTTCACTGATTATGAAAAGTCATTTGACAGTGTAGATAGGAGAACGTTATGGAAACTTCTTCGACACTAAGGAGTTCCTGAGAAGATTGTCAACATTATTCGGAATTCATACGACGGAATACAGTGCAAGGTCGTTGTGGTGTTTGAATGAACTGATGATCCCTTTGTACTTGTTGAATGCTTGATTTCGAATTCCAAATACAGTACATTCGTCAGTGCTTATCTAGTACTTCTTGATCCGATTACGTTATTTCTGGGATGTTGAATTGGTTGATTTTGTCAGTGTGTTGAAGGAATTGTGTATTGAACCTTCGTAATGCTGTTTGTCCAGTTGTCCAGTGTTTCTTTCACCTCAGTTTCATCTTTACAACGACGAGTTGGTGATGGTGATCTGAAGTAATGTCAGCTCCTCTGCTGGTTTTCACATGTTCCATTGACCTGCTGAATATTTTGCTGATGCGAATATGATTGATCTTGTTTTTCATAGTGTGATCCGACGAAACCAATTTAGTTTTGTGTGAACGTTTGTGTGGAATATAGTGACACCTATAACCGAGTTTTTGAACTCACATGAATTTGCAAATCTCTTAACACTTTGATCCCCTTCTCCTAGTCCATGTCGTTCCATGATATCTTGATATCCGATGTTGTCCATTCCGACTTTGTCGTTTAGGTCTTTCATCATGATGATGAGATCATTTTTTCGGGCACTTCGATAGGTTTATTGCAGCCTCTCATCGAACTGATCTTTATTGTAGTCTTTGTTATTATTGGTGGGTGCATAACACTGGATAACGCTCATTGTGATTCCCTCCTTCTTTGTTTTGAAGGATGTTTAAATGTTACCAAACTCCATTCTATTCCCACCTAATAATTTCATTTCGTGGATTTTTGAACAGCATCACAACAACTCCGTAAGTGTGTGGAGCATTTTGCTCTTTGTGACTGTAGTACAACATCAATTCTCCCATATCTGGCCTTTGTTGTCCAACATGGATCAAATAGGTTTCACTTTCTATGAGTACCTCTCAGTTGTATCTCCTCATTTCTGTATCTACTTGACTTTTCCTTCCGGTCTTCCACATTGGGCGGACACTCTATGTACCTATAATAATTGTTGTTGTGGTTGTCAGAAGGGGAGTAGGCCTCGTGATTTTCGTAGAATTCCGGTTTTCATCATGAGGTGTCATAAGTTTTCTGTACATAGAACTCCCTTGGCAGATTTTAAATGGTTTGTTTCTTTATTTATTTTTAGTGTGTTTTTAGCAAGTTTTTTTCTGTGATGTGGTTGCTGAACTCATGCCAAATCCTCTTTTACCTAGTCTTGGGACCGGCAGTATCACTAGCAGAGCTACAGGCGGTGCTACTTGGAACGCGGATCTCATTAATTAAACTTAGCTGCTTTGGTTACTCTTAATTATGTTTATTTAGATTTATATAGGGAATTGTCATAGGGCTTTAGATTTTGGTTTATGATTAAGCTCTATAGTGAGCAGTACATAAACAAAACCTATTTGATTGTATCTTGTACACTGTTCAACCTAGTTGCTGTCTACGAACCTGTAAGGATCTCGATACAACTATTTCCAGTTTCACTTCGCACCTTTCTGGATTGAATATAATTCAAGCACATCACCTACACGTCTGACTTTCTAAAATAATTTCGTGTGAAAACCTTAATGGATAAAAAGGAGACTGACGTTTTGTAGTCGTCATGAGAATTTTACGATGCAATAGGGTTAGGAATCTGAGTCTTCCTCATTGATTAGGCTTTTGTTAAGATGGTCGAGCAACGGTAGGGGATGTTTACCTAACTTTCTACGTCTCTGAATTGCCATATTCATTGAAACTGCCCAAAACGAACTATATTTGACTCACGATATCTTGAACCGGTCCATTAGAAAGTCACGGTTTATTTTCCTCAAATCATTTTTCGTGGCAATATTTCAGTACTTAATGAAAGACCAGTTGAGGTAAGATCGTTAAAGATTATTTCTTCAGGTTATTATCTCTGATTATCCCGCTATATATGCTGTATTGTCTTCACTGTTCCTGTAATCCAATAGTTGACATTTTCTGGAGAGTAGTGCCGGGTCAGTGATCCGATTGACTCAGTTGTTTATATCTTCTGTAACTTGTCAAAGTGACTAATTAAAACCTCAAATTATTTTGAGCACATTTTTAATTGGGTTTTATGTAACATAGTTTTAATGGTACATCATGGAAGATATACCTAATAGAATATTTGGAAAATGTGACTATTGTAAATCTCCGTTGTGAATACAGTGTGTGGTCAGTTTTGTCTGGTTGGTTCATTACAGTTTTATGAATACATTTAAGTTTATTTGTAGAATGTTGTTCTATTAGGTCCGTCTAATTATCGGGTAACTATAGTGAGTTGACTTCTATTGGATTTTGTTTTGTTTTATGAAACGAAGTAGATTTTTGTCCTTCTACACAATCCTATTGAAAAAGACTGATCGTTGGATTTCATCATAATTATCCCTAATTTCAGTTATCCTCTTTTTTTCAGATTATTATCAATGGGTTTCACTGGTTTTGGCATTACAAGCTATTCTGTGCTACCTACCTCGCCTTATTTGGGAGGCAATTACTTTCAATCGTGTTGGAACAAATTTAGGATTCTTGCTTGAATCAGCACGAGAAGCTTCAAAGGAAACTGGAAAGGAAAGATCAAATCGTGTTCAATTTATAGCAAATGTTATGGATACATTGTTGTTTGCTCGTCGGGATCTACGTAAATTAGAAAATGGTCTTAAAGATCAAAATTTTTTGAACACAATTTTGCATACTATTCAAAATTTGCTTCCGCGTAAAAGGCTTGGTACTGCGTTAGTCACATACTACATGATAATCAAATCATTTTATTTGCTAAATGCAGTTGGACAACTCTTATTGATGGAACGATTTTTGGGTGTCCGTGGAGAATATCGCCTATTTGGCTTATCAATTTTAAGTGATTTGATTATGGGTAGACATTGGAATGAAACTAGTGTCTTTCCTCGAGTGGGTTTTTGTCGTGTACCAATCAAATTGACGAGTACACCTATACCTATGGTCACTGTACAATGTACATTGCCAGTTAATATGCTGAACGAAAAGATTTATGTGTTTTTATGGTTTTGGTTTGTGTTTGTTGCTTCTCTGGAGGTTGCGAGTATTGGAGTTTGGATTTGTCGTTTGGCCGCACGGCAATCGAGATTGAGAAGTTTGATTCGATATTTAAAAGTTGCAGATGTTTATGAAGAATCAATGGATCCATTACTTGCTCGATTCGAATTGACATTTCTTCGAATGGATGGCAGTTTCCTTTTACAAATGATGCGTTTAAATGCTGGAAGTCTTATCACACAAGAAATCTTACAAGCAATGTTGAAGCGTTACACAGAACAAGAACAATATGCTCAGAAAAAACGCGTTGAACGACAACCTTCGGGACCAAAGTCTGTAGAAATGGAAAAAGATGGTCTACTTCCTGACTCTCCTGATTGTACTGTAACAAAGCGTTTAGATGTTGTTTAGTTCAGTAAATAAATTTCCAGTATGAAGATTGAATGCATTGCAAAAATTCATCTCTACCTTTTGTATTACTTCTTTCTTTTCATTTTTCATTTACAGTCTCATCGATCTGATTAATATAATGGTTTTTCTGGTAATCTACATTCAGTTTAATTTACGAAGCTCAGGGTCATTTCTAACTATTTTCCCCTATGTTTTTTTCATAATAAAAGCTTCAAGGTCATGATTTGTTTTGACTTTTTATTCTTTATACATTATCGAGCTGTAACGTACGTGTTATGCGGCGTTATGCTTTTGGTAACAAACTGGTTACCAATCATTGACCGAATAAAATATTGGTTTTCAAAGTGTATTTATCGTTGGTTATAAAGTTTTCATTTTTTCGCTAACTTGCTTGTTGAGATATACAAGCTGTCAATAATCCCAGTCGTATAAGGTTCAAAAGCTTTGACTAAGTTTTTAAAAATCGGTGGTCTATTTCTTGCGGAATGTAAGTATTTTTTAGGTTTATATTGGTTTCGTATTTACAGGGATTGATTTTTCATCTTATCAACATAACTTTTGAGGAAAGTCAGAACAAAAATTTGAGCAGGATAAAGTGGTTTCATTTTATCTCATTAGTTCCTCATCAGCTGCTTACAACATGAAATATTAAAAAATCAAGGTTATAAAGTGAGTTGAAAATATTGACATAAATGAGTTTGGTTGGAAATTTGTTGTGATTACACAAAACATAGTAAATACGTAAATAAATTCAAGAGGCTGAATAAAAATGTCACAAATAATTGTCATCTGTAGGGAACATTTTGTAGCACCAATATTAACAAAAGATTAGATGGCTAGAAATAAGTAAAAACTAGTTCGGTTAAACATAAAATTATTGAACTAGAAGGGCGTCAAAATAATAGTGGAACAATGTAACTAATTGAGAGTTGAAACAACTTTTATGGTGTACCGAGGCAGGGCTTATGTTACCATAGCAGAGAGTCTAACAACTGTTCTTCTCGAACACTTGGTAGCGCTAACTTGAGAAGTCTAAGAATTGGTTATTCACCAGTTGCATTGAAGGATTTAAAAGTATCCACAAAACATTGTGTCCAATAGATTTGGAGATCACGTTATTCAAAGTACTCTATCTCAATTGAATGTTTTTAGGAACATGTTCAAAATATCAGGAATGGGACCCCCTTTTTGTCCGATCAATGTAGCTACTTTCCCAATTACCTATATGCTCATAAACGCGTGGGCGTAAAATGAAGAGGATGATGTTGATCTTTGGTTGAATCATTTAGTGTTATTTTTTGTTGAATTAGTTCGGCTACGGAGCGGATTCTGTTTAATTCAGTGTTAAGTATATTAATAATTGTTCACGCAACATGATCACCTGTAAAATTGAGATGAATAAGTTATTCAAGTCAATAAAAGACCTATCTTTGTTTGGGTCAAATGTCTCAAACGTACAGCTAACCAACGGCTTTGAAAAATGTCAGAGTTCCCATCAAGGTTAGTAGTGACTACAGAAATTTGTGAAATCCCCCAGAGATAAATGTTAGTCGAAAATAAACATTTAAAGCCAGAATGAGGCTAATGAAATAGTTGCATCTATCCCTTTCTTTTAGAGAATTCTAGAAGTCAATTGGGTTACTGTTATAATGGGATGAGGAGGCGAAATCACATTTTTAACTTACTGTGATTCTTGCTCAACATTACTTCCGTTTTAAATTCTATGTGATGATTATTCAGAGTAATATTTGTTTCTGTTTTCCAGTGTGATACTTGGTATAATATTGATTTATTTGACCGTGATATTATTTCAAAATACAATATTGTATAAAATTAATATGAACTATGTTCAGTATGATAGACAGCATGTGATTTTATAACCCTGGGTATTTGTTATATGTGATTTTATCGTAATTAGTAGTCAAAATGGGTGTACAATCACAATATAAGAAGTGTAATTTCGACTAAGATCATCGTCGTGTTTTGTGTTTAATAAATCTCCACTTTTACCAGTCTTGTTGTCCCTACTTCGTGTCGTGGGGATTTCAGTTATTCCTCGTTCTTTCAAGTATATGTAATAGACGACGCGGGTTCAACAGTTAGTGACACTACTTTTCTAGGGCTGAACTATGTAGATGAATGAAGTAACTACCATTATCCAATGCACGATCACACTGCGTGATATGTTGCTTCCTAAGTGGTCTATGTCCATGAAATATGCGTGTAAATGATACGATAGGTTGTTTTTGGATAGCTTGTAATTATGCTGCCCACGTCGAATGAATAATTGTGCTTTCAACCTCTAAACTTACCATTGATATCATAGTTTCATGATTTTCAGTACAAAATGTATTATTTATGTAACCATGGTTTCCAACGCCTCTGATCAGTTTATTGATAATAAATTCTAAATGAATTAATCAAAAAGTAGTCTAAAGTAATTTCAAATCGTTTTCGTAAAAGTTTTCTTTGGATGTTCATGTGATTAATTCAGAGGTGAGGTCTAGAAGACGTGAGTTCTTTATTCAGTAAAGTTGTAAATATTATTTGAACAGACGGCTGATAACAGTTAAGGGTAGGTGGGGATTCGGCAGATAGGAACAGGTGGTTGAGTACCTGTTTTTATTTTTAACTTAGTAGTATGCATCTGATCAACGGCTTTTTTTTAAGTTCTTAGTACTATCGAATTTCAATTTACGGACATGGTGAACTTTCTAAATGAGCGTTAGTTTTGAGAGCTGCAACGCTCATTGAGTATTTGTTTTTCAGACTAATGCTCTAAGTGCATGATTAGTTGATTGGATGGAGAATGTCGGCTTGAATGACTGCACCAGGATTTATATCAAACAAAAAAGTATTTATATTGAGGGGAAATTCAGACTCATATTTTAAATTAACAATCTTCTAATTATACATCTGATATAATAACCAGCTGTTAACTGAATTTCGATTGCATTTTAATCATTGTGAAGTGTCATTTTCACTTGTATGAGTATTTGAGTTATATTATGTCACACTGCTAAATCTTCGTCGATTGAATCATTTTACAAAACTAGTTATGTAAATACAAACAGAACTGGTATTTTTCTTCCAACTACAATCTACACCCTTATATGAATAACAGATTTTGATAAACAGTCCAACTTCTAAACGAGGAACTACATTTACGTCTAGTCAATAGATAAGTAGTATAGAAATAATCAGTTTTTCTCAGTCTGTTACAGCGAGTCGATGTCAATTTTGACACGGTAAATAGTCAGTTAGCAGTGCACGCTGAAAATTTTCCAGCTAGCCGTAACTCATTAACTTGGTTGATTAGTAATATGGTGTATCCTAGTGGCTTAACTGTGAGGGGATTTTTCTAGTAGGTATGGTTATTAAACCAAGCCTCTCAGATCCCCACCTATGACTGAGCTGAATTTTCACTACTTCATGAAATTACGTAAGCGTAGATTATCGTGACTTGGATTGCTGTCAGATAGTTTTGTTTTTGACTACATTTTTACTCCCAGCCGCTCAATTTTGAGATAAAAACTAGAACTAAATGTACTCAGTTTACTTTCATCACGATGAAAATTCACTTTATTTGTGTATAAGCTCACGACCTAGTCTGTGCTTTGAGCACTTCGGTTCCGGTCAGTCTTAGGTTTTGACTTTGCGGATTTGTGTACATTACTTATTTTTTCGTTTTTCATACTAAAGTAGTTTCAAAATGAGCAAGTAGTTAATACAGTGATTACTAGTCTTTTGATATCTAAGTACCTGAAACCTGGTCTCATACTCAAAATCAATAAACATTTGTTTGTTAACTGTTTCTATTCTTTTTCTGCAAAATCCCAATTTATGCCTGAATCATTTCTCATTTTAGGTAGTGAGTATGATCATAAGTAAATGCCCTTAATCCCAAATATGAACCATCGTAGAAAAGATTATTTTTTTAAAACAATATTCTCAAAGTGTGTTTAGATTATTAACCGTTTTCTCTAAACATCCAACTCTGATCGATAGAATTCCCATTCGAAGTCATTCATGAAAATCAACTGAGATATGGTTTTAATAAAAAAAAACTGAGTATACTATTGATGTATGCCACCAGTTAAACGACATCATCCACGTCAACCAATAGATTTTTTACCGGAAGGAATGTAATGATTTGAACACTATACAGTTTTTCTGCCTGTTTTTAATTATTCTGATCTTAATTTATTTTTTGTGTTTGACAGTGTAGTTTCGCTTTTTGAAAGTTCGATGGAATGACACAAAGGCCAACATAAAGAATGTAAACTAAACCCATTTATTCCCTAACACAACTCCCAAAGATCATAAAGACAATAAGAACTTGACAATTTTATAACCACTTCAACTAATGATGACCAATTGTAAGATGGGGGAATATTCCAAGCAAAAACATAGTGTCAGGAATATTACTGGATAGCTACGTTTAGGCCCAAAATGGACGTTTGTCCGGTACAATGATTTTCAGTGTTTATATGACTAATATCAGCTTGTAATACATAATAATTACTTTTACATTGACCGAAGAAATTGTGATATTTGTATGTAACCCTGATTTCTTTGTACATTTATTCCGCGCCTATTATGAAGTCCATGTGCAATACCTTCTACGAGTTTTCTGAAACCTAACTTTTTAAATTTAAGGATAGTGTTATTGTAAAGTGATTCATTGAGCTAACTATATCTTTATCATCTGGCAAATTTGTCGAAAATTTAAAATTTATCCCAACTAATTAATAAACCATATCATTATACTGGCAATATATTTGTAAAATAGAGTTATTCCCGTGACCCAGATATTACAATAATGTGTGTAATATAAATAATAATAATAATAATAATAATATATTTGTAATATCCCAATGAGTAGAAAATTAGATTTTCTGACGTTTTGTGACTTAGTGTAAGTCACTTCTTCAGAGAATAAATAACCAAATTAAAATTAATCCAAGTTTAAATAGTACAACGGAACAATGCAAGAATAATATTGGATCAATCAAAAACAGGTCTGAACAAGTTGATGTCTTGTCATTTCTGTCAAGGTGATTCATAAGTGATATGTATGTAAATTTGTATGTGTATGTATATGTGCATTGTTTAAGAATGAAAAATTGTGTGACCTTTATAGTGAGAAAGGACAGAGTTTAAATTTGTAATATGATAGTGTGAAATTGTAAATACGATCAGACTGAATGGTTAGGATAGATGGTCCAAGTAGGATGTATGGTAAGGCCTTCTTTTCTATTGAGAGAAGTAGGATTAAGCATTATATGGAACGCCTCAGCTACCCTCCTTTCTTTGTAGTTGGAATAGCCTTTTTGCAATATTTTGATATTTTAAAAATCGATTTGG